AAATATTCTCAACACATTAGATGAAGGGCTAATATCCAAGATAAAATCCAAAACCCTATCAAAAAACAGGGAGAGGAAATGAACAGACACTTCTGTGAGGAATACAAAGGAATCGCCAATATGCACATGAAAAAAGTGCTCATCATCACTTTATTATCAGGGAAAGCCAAGTCAATTAGGTCTTTGTAACTTCCTACTAGCAAGCTCTTAATCGAGATATGGTACTGTATCTTGAAATATCATTTGCTTTGGGGATCATCACTGTCATCACTGTCATCCTGTTAATCGTCAGTTACTCTAGCGGGCACCAGTAGCATCTCCATTTGTCCTAGCCCTGAGATTTTAGCATCGTAAACTTTATGCTCTCTTTGAGGATGTGGCATGCCATCTGGATGTCCTTGGGCATAATGGTGACACGCTTGGTAGGGAATGTGCAGAGGTTGATGTCCTCGAAGAGCCCCACCAGGTAGGCCTCGCTCACCTCCTGCAGCGCCATGAGGGCTGAGCTCTGGGAGCTCAGGTCGGTCTTGAAGTCCTGTGAAATCTCGTGCACCAGCCGCTGGAATGGCAGCTGGCGGATCTCACATAGTGCCATGGTGTCAGGCCAGTAGCTGCGTGGCTTCTTCATGCTACCTGTGGCTGATGGGCTCTTGCAGGCCACCTTGGTGGCCATCTGTTTTCAGGGCGCCTTCTTGCCCATTGACGTGCACACTGTCTGTTTAGTACAAGCCCTCTCGTTCTTCCCAATTCAGCTGGAGACTCCTTCAGGGTTAGGGAAATGAGACCCATTTTATCTGCTGTTGTTGGCATATTTGGCACATCCCAGGTCGCTTGCCAGGTTCTGCCGTGTGGGCTGGATACCCTAGGTAGCTTGCCAGGCTCTCTAGGGGGGAGATGGAGGCTTTTGGGGTGATTTCTAATTGCCCGTGCAGGTGTTCCCAGTCTACCGAATGTAAGCTCCTGGTGACTGGCCTGCTGTGACAATTTGTACACTGACAATAGGCACCTGCCTGTGTTTCCAGGCAAGCCTTGGGGCATCTGCGGCCTCAGGTTGATCTCCTTGAGGTGGATGGAGTATGCCCGGAGGTTGTTGAACTGCTGGCAGAGCAAGATCCCATTGAATAGGGTCTGTGCCAGGTCAAACACCTGTGCTGAGTCCCAGGTCACACGGTGTTTGGCAGACAGCATCCCACAGTGGACAAGTCACTGCATGGGCCACTGCTCTACGCTTGATGGTGCCGCTAATATATATATTGTGTCTATAGCAGTGTGAACTCTGGAAGTTAGTGCTAAGCTTACAGTTTTGTAAGTAATTAACATTTTGGTTAAAACAGTGATAATGGACAAGAGTGCTATAGAGAATGGAACTCTAAAGACTAATAGTGAGGAAGAATAGGCAGAGAGAGTTAAAGGCGAATAATTTACTTTGAATGTAGAAAAGTTTGTGTGTAGAGAATTGTTTAGAGAACTTTGTGCCTTGTAAAAGAAATTATTACTATAGGCTTTTGAGCACAAGAAGAACTAAGACACTTTAGTGAGAGAGACACTAAAGTGACACTAAAGGAGAGAGACAGACACAGAATGTCCTCTCTCGTATAGTAAGAAGTTTATTTATTATTATTATTTTTAATGTAGGGGTACTGCTATTTATTCAGTCACTGATTAGGCTGATTGAATTATGCATGAACTCCACCTTACTTTTTTTCCCCATTTTTTATAATTTTATTTATTGAATTACCGTGAGAGCAGTTACAAAGCTTTTGGGTTTGTCTCGGTCATACAATGAAACACCTGTACCTTCACCAGTGCCCATTATCCACCACCAAAATCTCCAGTATACCCCCATCCCACACCCTCCCTCTACCTGTGGGGCAGATGATTTCCAAATTACTCTCTATACTTTGATTACATTCAACATTTTGACACCACATTCACCATTATTATTTGGGATTTTACCCCAACACTCAGATCTGCCGAAAAGGCAACAGTAGACAATTTGCTTTCTATTGCTGTTTATGAATAACATATGATGTTGCATGGCTGCAGTAGTGGCCACGCGATTTTGAAATTCTGAAATTTTAACAATTAAATCCGTAGGGATTTCTTGCCAAAACCTGCTGGGTTCCGAGATTTGTTCCTGAGTCTCTGGGATCGTGGCCATTAAGCTGCTTGATCAGGAGCCAGAGAGGCTGTTCGTGGGCGGTGACTTGGGGTCTCCTTGGGGTGGGGAGTAAAGGGCTGGCTCCACCCCCATCCCGTGAGGTCCCGTGTGTCTCGTCTCTATGGGCCCAAACCTGACCGTTCAGTGGCCTCTGGCAGATGGCGGCCACCAGGGGGAAGAGGCCAAGGCACGAAACCTATTCCCACCAGCGGTGGCCCAGCACTGGTAGCCTACTGCAGGGACTGGATGCATTTCTGCCAAAAACCGTTGGGTTTTGAGATTTGTTTCTGAGTCTCTGGATCATGGCTGTTAAGCAGTTGAATCAGGAATCAGAGAGTCCATGCCTCCAGTTATATAGCTGAGCCAGAGGTGGTTTGTGGGTATGGCTCCCACATTCTGAACTTTTGACCATTTACTTTCTTGTTAAACTTTGCCCCAAGTTTTTGGGGTCTGGCCAAAGGCACAGCAGCAATTTTGGGATATCTGGAAGTCTGAAGGCACCATCAGGCTGCTGATGCACTCGCCTCACAGGTACAAATTGTCCTGCTGGCGGTACCATAGCCCCCTTGTATAATAGGAAATTTTAAACCTGCACAAGGACAACAGAAACTATGAACTGGTTTTCAGTAGGAAGTTTCCCATGCTGAGCAGAGGGGGTGGACACTTGGACAGTGGTGGAGAGGGAAGTCAGCACTTTGGTGAGAGTGTGCTCCTGGAATGTTTGATGCTTGCAAACCTACCATAACAGCTGTGTGAACCATAGTGCTTAAAATAAAATATAAAACATTTTTATTTTAAATGGAGCAAAATAAAAAAAAATTAAATTTCATCGATTAAGAAGTTCATGTAGCATTTTTTTAATGTAGGAGTACTGCTATTTATTCAGCTGATTAGCTGATTAAATTGGGCATGAACTCCACCTTACTGGTTTTTTTTCATAATTTTATTTATTCATTTTTCTTCTTATATTTATTGAATCGCTGTGGGAAAAGTTACTAAGCTTTCTGGTTTAAATCTTGGTCATGCAATGATCAAGTTTTTAAAATCATAAGCATGTTTTAATTTTACATTCAACTTATTTGACAAGGTGCTATTCTAAGCAAAAATGATTTCTCTTGAAGTCAGTTTCTTTGGGGATGTTTCTAATGATTGGGATGGGAGAGATCAGAGGATTGGAGCACATGCCTTGCATGCTTGAGTTTGATACCCAGCACTGCATGCATTTCCCCCCCCCCCCACCCCCCGCCCCCTCCAACAATGCAGTGGCTCTGGTCACCCCCAGCAGCACTGCTGGGCTGAGCACCTGTCACTGGGCCCAGCACTGAGCTCTGGGTTTAACTTCATGAGATTACCTAGCTGGGCATCTCTGGAGGTGGCCCCTTGATCCTCCTCAGCATTGCTTGGGAGTCCTTATCCGCTTCCCCCTAAAATGTTAGTTATTGTTTACTTTGAAATCACATTTTTATAATGGGAACTTTCCTCCAAGTGTAGTAAGAGAAAAGGTTTATGGGGTGTGGGGGAGTATATAATCAGTGAGATAAAGGTTTGCTATTTGTTTTCAGAGAAAAAATCCAATTTGAAGAACTCTTTGTAGACTGCTGCTAAAGTTGTGGATTGTAGTTATAGGTCATCTCCCAACCCCCCAAGCCCATGCTAGGGGCTCACATATGCAAGGAATGCATTCTGCCACTGCAGAGCCACCTTCTGGTCTTATTTATTTTACCTTTCCCCACTATCAATACTGTTTTCTCAAAGCAGTAGTTTCCTACACATTCTTGACCAACTCTCAGCCCTACTCTCCAGAGACAATAGCACATGAATGTGGGCCACTAGTAATAAATGTGCATGATTTTCTTGTCTAATCCACTAGTGGTGGCCAAAGCAGCATGTCAGTAATCTCCACAGAGAATTTAGAATTGGGAAGAAAAGCATTTAAAACCTTAAGTAACTAATTGATTTTCCTGAGAAAGGGTTTCTGTTAGGAGACAGTGAGGCTTGTAGAATGCTTAGCTATTAAACTGAACAAAAGAGACCATATCATAAAAGGAGAATCATTGATTACAAATAGAACTGGACATAAAATATTGTCCTGGGCGGAGTGGTGAAGAAAATATAGAGAGTATATAGAGAAAATATAGAGACTAAGTTTGGAGCCATTTCCTGATTTAATTTTCCTGGTAACTGTTTTTTTAAAAATTTGTTTTGGGGGGCTGGAGCAATAACACAGCGGGTAGGGCTTTTACCTTGCATGTGGCCAACCCGGGTTTGATTCCCAGCTTCCCATATGGTCCCCTGAGCACAGCCAGGAGTAACTCCTGAATGCAGAACCAGTAGTAACCCATATGCATCGCCAGATGTGACCCAAAAAGCAAAAAAAAAAAAAAAAAAAAAAAATATTGTTTTGTTTTTTTTTGGGCCACACCTGGTGATGCTCAGAGGTGATGCTCAGAGGTTACTCCTGGCTCTGCACTCAAGAATCTCTCTTGGTGGTGCTCAGGGCACTATATGGAATGCCAAGGATTGAACCAAGTGAACTGTGTGCAAGGCAAACACTGTATTTGCTGTGCTATTGCTCTGGCCCCTATCCTGGTAACGTTTGTGTTGTAAATTGTATGTGTACTATTTGTAGTTTATATATTTTCTGAAGTTATATGAAATTTGCTCGAGCGAAATTTAATACTCAGCATTAAATATGAAATTTAATACTCAGCATTTTAAAAAAACTCATGTTTTTGAGCAAAGGGAAGGAAAAATAGTATGTTGAAGTATGTTTAAACCTTGGGCAAACTGAAAACCTTTTGTAACACTTTTGAAATGAGAATATCTTTTTCTTTTTCAGGTTGAGCAAGTGAAATTACTTGACCGATTCAGTACCAGCAATAAGTCACTAACAGGAACACTGTATCTTACAGCTACACATCTATTATTTATAGACTCTCATCAGAAAGAAACCTGGGTAAGGTAGACCTTCTGCTGAACTCTTTATGATACCTTTGTATGGACTTGGTCTATTGTTGTGTTTTATTTTATAAAGGAGTGGTATTGAGAAAGAAAATCATGGGGCTGGAGAGATAGTATAGCAGGTAGGGCACTTGGATGTAACCTGCCTGAATTTGATCCCTAGCATCATGGTTTCCCCCAGGTCTTGCCTGGAGTGACCCCTGAGTGCAGAGTCATGGAGTAAGACCTGAACACCACCGGGTATGGCCCAAAAAAACAAAATTTTTTAAAAAGACAGGAAATCATATAAGAATAGCAAATAGTACTAAGCTTTTATTTATCATCATCATCATCATCATCATCATCATCATCATTGAATTGCCATGAGATACACAGTTACAGAGTTGTTCATTATTGAATTTGACATACAATGTTCCAAAACCATTTACCAGAGTACATTTCCCACCACCAGTGTCTTCAGTTTCTCTCCTACCCCCTGCCCCCCAGCCTGCCTCTATGGCAGCCACTTAGACACTTTTCATCTCTGTCTCTCTCTTGCTCTCTCTCCATGTATATTCCTTTACATACTTTCAGCACTCAGGTATTGCGTGGAGGGATTATTTTCAACTATCATTATCATGGTGGTGGTCCCTTCTCTATCCTAACTGCCCACCCCCACCACCCACTTGTGGAAAGTTTCCATCCATGGACTAGTCCTTGTGGCCCCTGATTCTACTGTTCTTGGGTATTCATCTCATATTTTGTTTTTTCATATCCCACAAATGAGTGCAATCATTCTACCTCTGTCCTTCTCCATATTGAGAGTTTTAGATGAGAATTATATATTTAAAATGCCAGCCAATGAAAGTAGACTATAGACCAAACATGATTGCCACCCATTGCTTCTTTTGCAAACCACAACACCCAATAGGAGAGAACAAAAGGGAATGCCCTGCCACAGAGGCAGGGTGGGATGGGGGGGTTGGGGGGGTGGGAGGGATACTGGGATCCGTGGTGCTGGGAAATGGGCACTATTGGAGGGATGGATATTTGATCATAGTATAATTGAAACTCAAGCACAAAAATTAGTAAGTCTACAACTGTACCTCATGGTGTCTCACTAATAAAAATTAATAAAATAAAATAAAATGCCAGCCAAGTATTGAATTTATTGTAAGGTTTTCTATTTATTAATTCAGTAAATATTTATTGTGATATCTGAAGATGCGCATATTTCTGGTTTGATCAAGTTCTATTTTTTTAAGAAGCAAGGCAGATTTTATTAACATTTATTTAGAAAGATGTGAGGGGAGAGAAAGAAGTCAGATGTTATAGAGAAAACCAAAGACTTCTCTGGAGAGGACATAAACAAAGAAAGAAACAAGACAAGTAAGTGAGATATGTGTTCAAGGGAGAACATAGGCTTGTAGAGCAAGCCTTGATCAAATTTTAATTTTGAATATTACATAGAATTTATTTTATGAATAAAATTTATATTTGAAGAGGGTTATGATTCTTCATATATTGCTGGAATTATATGATGATCAACTTAGCTGTAGTAGTACTTGAGAAGTTCTCAATATCTTGCTGGAGAAATAAATATTTGCCACAAAATGTATTGCTCAGGTACTAAGTGTCATGAAGAAAAGCATAAGATGATGTGTAATAAAATGGGAGGTCTAACTTGTTTGGAAAGGCATTTAAGAATAGCACAGTGAATAGGGCATTTGCCTTCCACGCGGCCGACCCGAGTTGACTCCTTCGTCCCTCTCGGAGAGCCCAGTAAGCTACGGCGAGTATCCCTCCCGCAAGCTCCCCGTGGTGTATTCGATATGCCAGAAACAGTAACAACAAGTCTCACAATGGAGACATTACTGGTGCTCGCTCGAGCAAATCAGTGAACAACGGGAGGACAGTGCCTCAGTGCTACAATGAATTTTAAGCAATGGTTAGAAATGGTATTAGAGGGGAAAATAAAGATCTAGTGTAGCATCTCAGGTTTTAGGAGCAACTCTGAGTGTGTGGATTTGTAATGTAGGACTCAAAATGAGATTTGAGCAGAGGGAAATAGCAGGAGTAGATTGCTTTTTGTGTATGTGGTTTAGAACATACAGATTTTATACACTCTGGAAAAGAATAGACTAGTACTTTTTGTGATAGTCACATGTTTGTGTTTTTCATATTATAGATATTGCATCACCATATTGCTTCAGTAGAGAAACTGGCTTTGACTACTTCTGGATGCCCACTTGTGATTCAGTGCAAGAACTTCAGGATTGTGCATTTCATTGTTCCCAGAGAAAGAGATTGCCATGATATTTACAACTCTTTACTACAACTGTCAAAACAAGGTATTGTTCTTAGAGACCAGAGCTTCATTTTGAGATAAATTATCTAAGATATTTTTTGATCAATAATGCTATTTTATATTCTACTTTTTGGTGTTTGTTTTGTTTTGGGGTCATACTTGGTGGTGCTCAGGGCTCTCTGCACTCAGGCATCACTCCTGGTGGGCTGGGAGGGGACCATATAGGGTGATCTAGGAATTGAACCTGGGTCAGCCACATGCAATGCATGCAACACAAGCACCCTACCCAGTGAAATCTCTTTAGTCCCTTATATTCTGCTTTTAAAAATAATGTTATTCTTTTCACTCCCTCTCAATCATCTTCACGCGTAGTCATTTCCTCCACTTTCCCTCTGTTGTTAATGCTAAAACAAACATAAATAAAATCCATAACAATAGAGGTCTATAGAAATGGGTTTTTTTTTTCTTTATGATGCCTGGGACTTAGACACACAAAGTATACATTTTACCACTCACTAGTCTTTATGTTAATGTTTTTAAAGTTTGTTGATTGTACTTTTTTTTAATGAGAATCCCACAACCTAGGGGAATGACTTGGAAATTAATACTATTAAACAAAATGTTAAGGAAGGCCAGGCCTCTCTAGTAACTGTTGGATGAATATATTTAATCAGTAAGAGTGAAACATAAAGGAGATGAGTTGAGGGAAAAGAAAATGTACCCAGTTTAATACAGGTAAGATTGAGAAGGAGAAGGCATGGAGACTCTAAAGAGGAGTTTTACACTATTCCTTAGGGATCTGGAAGGTTACTATCCTAGCATGACTTGAATTACATTCTGTAAGCAGGGTTTTGTTCACTCTGACTCATGAAGCCATTTCTAACACATCTGTCCCACCATTACAAGGTAAGCTAGATGGTTTAAAGGTGGCAAAGGCTGGAGACAGCTCCAAGGATTGAGCTCTTGTCCTTGCAGGAGATCTGGGTTCAACCCCAGTACTGCAGGGTCTCCTGGCAATACTAGGAATCACCCCCTGATGATAGGGCCAGGAGTAGCACGAGTGGGAGTGGGGTGTAGCCCATAAATGAACAAGTCAAAACAGAATAGAGATAATGAGATGCTTCTGTGACTTCAGGGGGCTTTTCAGAAATGAATGCTCTATGGAATTCTGCATAACTATTGCCATTTTTGGTTGACACCACCTGACTTGTAGGGGTAAATAATGCATTTTCATATTTTTTCTTTATGTTTTATTTTTATTGTTATTTTTATTTTATGTAGCTTTATTTTACTATTCAACATCTCATTTAGGAAAAGTGGTGAATGGATGGTGTATTTAAAATTTTGCTTTTCAGAAAAGAAAGTCATTAGAGAACTTAATATTATAAGTATAACTTATTGTCTTTAGATATAATTGTTTACATTAAAAAATTGAGAAAATACTTAACTTCAAATATTAGCTATCTGAAATTTGTAAAGGAAAAATGGAGGGATAAAATTGAAAACTTTGTATTATGCTTTTACGGTTTTTTATTTGTATTGTATTAAGTGCTATAATCACATTTTAATATTTGTGTATTTTGTTTACTATAGCAAAATATGAAGATCTGTATGCATTCTCTTATAATCCTAAACAAAATGATTCAGAACGAATACAAGGTTGGCAACTCATTGACCTTTCTGAGGAGTATAAGAGGATGGGAGTACCAAATTCCAACTGGCAGTTGTCTGATGCCAACAGAGAATACAAGGTATCTTACCAACTTTGACAGAATTGTGAAAGTGTTAGTACCAGAGTAGCTATGTATCCCTGTATATTTTACATTTGATATGTTCTTGAATTAAAGTTTTAAAAATTGTTTTTAACCTCATGGTTTACAGATTTGTGAAACTTACCCCAGAGAACTCTATGTTCCCCGAATCGCAAGCAAACCAATAATTGTGGGTAGTTCCAAGTTCCGGAGCAAGGGAAGATTCCCAGTTCTTTCCTATTACCATCAAGAAAAGGAGGTAGGAAGTGTTTCTTTTAATTTTTACAAGTGAATAACTCATATTCAGGTTGAAGTTTCCAAAAGGACTCTCATTTTTACATTGTGGTCATTAGAGTGATATTGCTGATAGAGAAGTGTTGACTTTTCATTTTTTGACATTTTTGAATTTTTCTTTTTTTCAGCCAGGCACAGTGGTGCTCAGGGCTTACTTCTAAACCTGTGCTTAGGGATCACTCCTTACAGTACCTGGGGATTTTAGAGGTTGCAGGGAATTCAACCCAGGTCAGCTGCATGCAAAGCAAGTGCTGGCATTAGAGCAAATCTCTTTTTCTGTACCTCAAAGCTAATCACTGAGTTGAATAAGTTTTAACTTCCAGTCCTTTGTGAAACTGAATTTCTTTCCTTTACGAAACTTTTTATAGTCTTTCCTGCTTTTTAAAAATGTCTCAGTGAGGACCAGAGTGATAGTACAGTGGATGGGTGTGGCTTGCATGTGGCTGATCCAGGTTCCGTCCTTTGCATCCCATAAGATTCACCAAGCAATTTGAGGAGTAATTCCTGAGTGCAGAGCCTGGAGTAACCCCTGAGTATCATTAGGTGTGGCTCCCCCTCCATTTTTTTTCCCTCAGTGATGTGTTTTGATGTGTTGTTTTCAATTCTATCTGGAAATTCAGGTTTGAGAAATCGTATCTCTACTATTTGCTGATTTCTTCTTGTCTTTGTACTTGTGTGTGTGAGTTGATTCCTGGACATCCTAGTATAAATCTCCATTTCCTTAGTGTTGATTCCTATTTCCCATCTCTTTTATTTTTTGGAATATTTTCTCAGTCTTTTATCTCTGATCCATCTCTTGGATCCTTTTTTCAGTATGTTGTTTTTTAGATACAAGAGCCTTTATTTTCTGGTAGATTTTCTTTTTAAATAGTTTTCTATTCTCAATGTTGTAACTTGGTTTTTTGATGATGGGAATTATAAAAAAGAATCACTGTGTTGCTTAACTACCCATATCAAAAACTACAAACAAGTTGTAGAAAACTACACAGTGTTCTGTTTGCTTTAGAGTTTGTTGTGTGTTTATTTTTGTTTCATGTGCCTTTCAAAAATATCTGATTCTTGGCTAGCCTCTCTCTCATATTTCCAAGTGAGGCACTACAATACAGTTTAGTCTGTGTATACAAGTGATCTGTGTTTTTTGGATTCTTTTTCTTACAACTTTCGTCCTAGTATGTGTTGTAGTGATTCTGACCAGTGTTCAAATGTGGGAAGAGGGAAGTGAATATTGCACATTTTTTAAAATATAGACTTTACTTAAGTCTCCAGTTCTTTTTTTTTTTTTTTTTATTAATTTTTATTAGTGAAACACCATGAGGTACAGTTGTAGACTTACAAAGGTCTCCAGTTCTTTAGGGACTTCATCCCCTCACATAACTGTGCCTTATTGGTCAGTCTTCAGGCTAATCTTTATAAAAAAGTAAACTTTGTCTTTGTGGGCTGGAGCGATAGCACAGCGGTAGGGCGTTCGCCTTACAAGCGGCCAACATGGCCGACCCGAGTTCGATTCCTCTGCGCCTCTCGGAGAGCCCGGCAAGCTACTGAGAGTATTCGATATGCCAAACACAGTAACAACAAAGTCTCCAATGGAGACGTTACTGGGCCCGCTCGAGCAAATCGACGATCAACGGGAGGGCCTTTACCTTTACCTTACCTTAAACTTTGTCTTTAACACTTGAGAGCCTTAAATATTAAATAGTCACAGGTATACGTACCCAGTTCTCTGTAGATATCAGTTCCATCCTGTTCTCCTGTTTTAAGCTTTACCCAATGAGACTTTCAGGCATCAAAAGCTGAGTCCTTTTGGAATTTTGTTGCTGCTGCTTATAGATTTCATCAGCTCGGCTTGGCCGCTTCCTTTTTTTATTTTGGTTTTGGACTACACCTAGTGATACTCAGGGGTTATTTCTGACTGTACTAAGGAATTACTCATTGTGCTGTTCGGGGACCCATATGGGATGCCGGGGATCCAACCTGGGTCAGCCAAGTGCAAGGCAAAAGTCCTACTTGCTGTTTCTCTAACCCCTTGGCTGCTTTCTTTACTCTGGTAAGTTATTTATTGTCAGTCGGCTTGCATCAGCCCCAATTTTATTGGCATCTTTATTTGTATTTTGTTTTTTATTCTCTTCGACTTTTTGATTTTATATATTTTGTACGTCTATAAATTTATTAAAAGTGTAGCTGAAATTTTTAAGTACTTTTTATTGATAGTGGTTATGTAATTTACGATACTGTTAATAATGACTTTCCATACACATAATTCAAACTGAATTTTGGAAGTTACCCAAAGGTAAAGGTAAAGGTAAAGGCCCTCCCGTTGATCGTCGATTTGCTCGAGCGGGCCCAGTAATGTCTCCATTGGAGACTTTGTTGTTACTGTGTCTGGCATATCCAATACTCTTGGTAGCTTGCCGGGCTCTCCGAGAGGGGCGGAGGAATCGAACTCGGGTCGGCCATGTTGGCCGCTTGTAAGGCGAACGCCCTACCCGCTGTGCTAGAAAGTAAATATTAAAGTTTCTAATCCACTTTTTATAACAGAGTCATAAAGATATGACTGATTATTGCCTCTGTGTGATGTACCCATTTATATACATTACTCATTTTGAAGATGTGCTGAAAAATCAGACATGCAGCCCCAGCTTAACAAATCAGAAAGTAGGTCTGGGGGCTGGAGGTACCGCAGGTAGGACATTTGCCTTGCATGTGGCTGACCCAGGTTTAATCCCCAGCACCCCATATTGTTCCTCAAGCACCGCCAAGAGTAACCCCTGAGCATTGATGTATGTGACCCAAAAAGCAAAACAAACAAACAAACAAAAAAGTAGGTCTGAAAGAATTGAATGCTTTTTTGCTTTTTTCTCCCCCCCATGAGGTAATTCTTACCTTCTATTTGTATTAAATTTATAGTTTTATTAACTGTATAAATTTAAAATGTGTGAATGTGTAGATTTATATGTATATTTTTTTCTTTAATGATAATATGGTTGGCATATTTCGTAGGGTTAAGTAGGAGTTAGTATGCATGAAAAGGAGAAAAAGTATATAGATGTATATCTTTTAATTATTTTTAAAAGACTTTAAATAATAGGAAATATTTAACTCAATTTCTTATCTCATGGATTTTTTTCCTTTTTGATTATTTTAAAATTACTATCATTATTTTTTGGGCCACATCCAGTGGTACTCAAGCTCTACTCCTGGCTCTATACTCAGGGATTACTCCTGGTGGTGTTGGTGTATCTTATGGCAATATAGGATGCTAGGTATCAGCCTGGGTTGGACATATGCAATGCAAGCGCCTTACCCGGGGGACTATTGCTCTGGCCCTGTTACATTATTTCTTTTTTTTTTGCTTTTTGGGTCACACCTGGCGATGCACAGGGATTACTCCTGGCTCTGCACTCAGGAGTTACTCCTGGCAGTGCTCAGGGGACCATATAGGATGCTGGGAATCGAACTGAGGTTGGCTGCTTGCAAGGCACATGCCCTACCCGCTGTGCTATCTCTCCAGCCCCCTGTTACATTATTTCTTAACTCCTATTTGAACTGAAGTTTTTTTTTTTATGACCGATTTTATATAAAGACAACTTCTTTCTAATCAGGTCTGAAAGTCTTTGAAAAGTAAAATGTTGCTTAATTAATGGAGAAAATACTGCTTTTTATTCATTTACAAACCTTTGCCTAAACTTGAGTTGCATATTTATTTTTTTGGGAGGCTACACCTGGTGATGCTAGAAGGCCCTGCATTGCTGGAAATGAAACCAAGACCTCAGCCTACTGAAAACATAATATAAATGGAGTACAGAATGCATCTCAACATTAGCCTGCTAGTAGAAAATAAACTGAAATTGTTTCTTTAATTTTTAAAATTTAAAGAACAGTGGTTTACAATGTTATTGGCAGTTGAGTTTTTGGCATACACTATTTCAATACCAATCTCACTACCTTATTGTCAACTTCCCTCCACCAGTGTTCCCGTGTTCCTTCCCCGCCCCCGCCCCCCTCTCCATCCCCCACCTCCAGGCACATTACAAAGTTCCAGTGGTTGCAGTTGAGGTCTCATGTTTTCAGTGTTGTTGAGTCTGTGTTTTAGCTATATGGCCATACCACTCACCTGCATCACCAGGATAACTGAAGCCCTAACCCCTGTTCATCCATTCCTTCCTGTTCTCTTCTCCCCTTCGTGTTTTTTTTTCCTTCTCTGTCTTTCTCCTCTCTGAACACTGGGGTCAAGGGTGATCCAGGCATCTTCCTTTACTCCAGTATATTTCCTCATTAACTGGAATTGTTTTTTAGGGCCTACAACCTTTCCTTACCTAAAATAAGGAGACACTTAGATTTAATAGCATGAAGATACTGAGATAGTATTTAATTCAAATGGGATTTTGAAGTTTATGCCTCCTCATTTTTCAGCCACTAGTGAACAAATTGGAGATCTGACCTTAAGTTTTTTTCTTTCAATTTAAATCTTTATTGAGACATGTTTTAGATATTTTTGGATTATCTGTGTTTCATCTCTTTAGGCTGCCATTTGTCGATGTAGTCAGCCACTGTCAGGATTCAGTGCCAGGTGCCTGGAGGACGAACATTTGCTTCAAGCCATTAGTAAAGCCAATCCGGTCAATCGTTACATGTATGTTGTGGATACCAGGCCCAAAGTATGTGTCTCGAAGACGGTTGGGTTTGTTGCTTATCTTCTTTCTTTAGTTGTTTAGAATTGATCAGTTTGTATTTAAAATATGTTAAATCCGTGTTTTAAATTAACTGAGGCTAATAATGCTAAGGAAATAATTTAAAAGATATGTATGAATTTAGGACTGGGGAGATAGCTCAAGAGGTAAGAGCATATGCCTAGCATGTTCAAGGCTCTGAGTTCACATGATCTCCAGTATTTGATGCCTCATTTCACCCCGCCTCCCCCCCCCAGAAGTGGCCCTGGTGGTCACTGAGTTCTGAGCATCTTTAAAAGTGGGGTAGCCCCAGGACTCCCAGCATTTCCCTGATTTTTTTTTTTAATCAGGCATACCAAATTAGAATACCAATTTGCCAGTAATTTATATAGTGATGTATAATGTTTTTTATGTCTTTTGAAATATATACAGATATAAATTTAAGAAAGCTGAATTTTATATTGGTTAACAGGTAAGTTTTTGGTTAATTGTGGGAAAATACTAGTATTTTGAAAAGTGATAGATTTATACAGTCGTTGATAGAATTTTTTATTGGCAAAATGCTTTTTGTTAAGACCATAATTTGATTACAAAAAAAGAGAAAAACAGTTAACTTAGGAAGCATTAATATTGATAATTAAAGGAAAGAGTTGTCCTGTTAGACATTTATAATATAATTAACATAATACGCAACTGATATAAGATGATACAAATTTTATCATTGAGACAAATGTCAGAATCCCTTTTAGCTCTCTATTACACATGTAAACAATCAGATCATATAGGATCCTAAAACTAAAGTAATTAAATCCTCAAAGTTATTAAAGCTGATATTACTTTTAATTTTTATTATAGCATCGCATGCAGAGCTGGTGGGCTACACAAAAGGACTTTGGCAGAATTATAGTGAGGATTTCTTCAAAAATCTGGAATGAGGAGAAAATAAGAGAAAGCAATGAGGAAAAGCGAGTGAGCAATATTGAACACAATTTTAGGCAGCTTTATTGCAAGGAACAATAGCTGTTTTAAAAGTAGTTCTTATCTATACAGTTTCACAAAAGATGTAGAAAACCAGATTAGTTTGACTAAATTAAGTATTAAATTTAGAAATTAATAGATTAGTAATATATTTTGTTAAAAAATACTTATAAGTCAGGAGTTCTGATAATATCTCTTGTAAGAAAAAATTTACTTATATGAATGAGTGTTTTGGTTAGAAATAATTTCAGGTAATATTAGATAATATACCTATTATAATAAGCTGCTGTGATACAAGGCTTTCTGAGAGGTAATACAAGAGATTTGAGGATGATTTGTTTCTCTGGACATAATATCTTTTATTTGTGTAATTGACAGGAAGTGTATCTTTTGTCGATTACAAATTAAACATCAGCTCACATAGAATTATTTTAGGAATATTTTAAATATCTAACCTTTTTTAGTCATCATAGGTACTGAATAAAACCAGTGATCAGTAAAGAGAAGTTCATTGCACTTATGAATCTGGTTCTCAACCAATAGAAAGCTGCCATTTCAAATTAGGTGCTCCTTCTTCCAAATTCAGAAGAGTATTATAATATTGTAGCACTGTAGCACTGTCCTCCTGTTGTTCATTGATTTGCTCGAGCGGGCACCAGTAACGTCTCCATTGTGAGACTTGTTGTTACTGTTTTTGGCATATCGAGTATGCCCCAGGGGAGCTTGCCAGGCTCTGCTATGCTGGCAGGATACTCTCGGTAGCTTGCTGGGTTCTCCAAAGAGAGGGAGGAATCGAACCTGGGTTGGCCGCATGCAAGGCAAATGCCCTACCTGCTGTGCTATCACTTCTGCCCGTACTATCTGAAATCTTAATTTGAAAGAATTAAGCATGCTAAAGATTATCCAAAGATTATCACAACAAGCTCCCGGGAGAGCACAAGGCAGAGTCTCCTACCCTGTGTCTGACTATCCTTGCCAGGGCCCAACAGCTGAAGACTTCCAGGCCCCAACCAAGGCCTTACTGGAGCCACTCTCCACACACTTGGATAAGCCTCAGACATAACCGAACTGGCAGAGGAACCCAGGTGTGTGGGACCCGGGACTGAGATCTCTAAGCCTGCACGGTTTGGGACTGGACCTGTCAGTAGCTAGACAGTTACACCCTCCAACTGCCGTGTAACCCCAACAAAGGCCAGGATCCAAAGATTATCACAACAAGCTTCCGGGAGCGTGCGGCCGCATTTGCGGCCGCGCGACGATTTATTTAATTTTCTCTAAATTTTCAGGATACCTTAAATATCCTTAAATATCCAACCCACACGGCAGAGCCTGGCAAGCTATCCGTGGTCTATGCCAAATAGACCAAATTGATATGCCAAATCCAGTAATAAATGGATCTCATTTCCCTAACCCTGATTATGCAGAGTCGAGAAGGATATGGAAGGAGAAGCTGATAAAACACCAAGGCAGACATGGGCTGCCAAAACACAGAAAAACAAAAATGATTGTCTGTACTTTTAATGCTCGTACGCTGGCATCTGCTGCATCCATTGAAGACCTTATGGTACAAGCACGAAAGATCAAGTACGACATCATTGGTCTGACCGAAACGAGAAGACATCAATCCCATCATGCTGTTTTCGACACTGGAGAAGAACTGTTCCTTGGAACATGTGATAAAAGAGGCGTCGGTGGTGTCGGTATCCTTGTCAACACAAACTTAGTCACAAGCATTGATTCATTTGAATGCCTAACAACCCGAATCGGACGATTACACTTGAATAAATGTGGCTCACTACCGGCAGTTTCTATCTTTGTTGTCTATGCACCAACATCCAGTTATGGTGAAAAAGAAACTGAGAAATTCTACATGGAGCTGGAGAAATTCTATAAAGAAGATCACACTTTCTACAAGATCATTGTCGGTGATTTTAATGCCAAGATAGGACCAAGAAGATCAGTTGATGAACTCCACATCGGAACCCATGGCCTGGAATGGAACGAACAGGGTGACAGACTGTCTGAGTTCATCATGTCAACCAAAACCTTCCATGGTAACTCACAATTCCAAAAGGCTGAATCTAAACGTTGGACATGGGAGTCTCCCGATGGACGGTTCCACAATGAAATAGACCACATCATATTCAATCGACGGTTTTGCCTAACCGATGTTGCTGTTGTCCCAAAATTCCAAACGGGATCAGACCACCGTCTTCTTCGTGCAAAATTCTACCTCGCAGAACGAGGAGAAAAGAATGCAAGGTTTAAGAAGAAGACTCCCAGAACAACCACCAACTGGGAACTCTTTGGCTCTGTTGCAGCAACATGGGAAGATGCCGTCATTGGCAACATTGATGAGGAATACGATTGAATGATTCAGCACCTCCATGATTGTGCAAGGAATGCCAAGAGAGAGATAACCACAAAAAACCGTCTTTCTTCGAACACTCTTGAACTTATTCGCCAACGTGGCATGGCACGTGCCTCAGGCAACCACAAGCAAACGTCCGAACTGGCAAAACAGTGCAGAAAAGCCATCAAGGATGACCTCAAAAACAGGAGAGCAGCAGTACTGGTAGATGCAGCGGAAGCCGGGAAAAACATTCGTAATGCCCGCCTGTCCTTCACCAACTACAAAACCAAGATGACTGCCCTCCGACATCATGATGGATCTATCACATCTTCCAGAAGGGCAATGGAGAAGATTATTCATGACTTCTACTCAGATCTCTGTAATAGCCACATCCACTTGCCCACATACCACATACCACATGATGGATATGTCGTTCCCAATGTTCTCCCTTCCGAAATCCAACATGCCATCTCGTCGGTAAAGAAACAAAAAGCACCTGGCCCAGACAAGATCAGACCTGAACACCTGAAGAACTTACCATCAGTACTCATCAATACATTAGCTCGACTCTTCACACGCTACCTGTCTGAATGCAAGGTTCCATCCCAATGGAAAACCAGCAAGACTGTACTACCATACAAGAAAGGAGACATCCACGACATTGGCAACTATCGCCCAATCTGCCTATTGTCTGTCATCTACAAACTATTCACTCGAGTCATCCTGAATAGGATTAGCAGAACACTAGATGAAGGACAACCATGTGAACAAGCTGGATTCCGAAAAGGATTCAGTACCATTGACCATATCCACACAATAACCAAGCTCATTGAGGTATCTCGGGAGTTCCAGATGCCGCTCTGTCTAACGTTCATTGATTTAAAGAAGGCCTTTGATTCTGTTGAGACGGAAGCGGTCATGGAAGCCCTAGCCAATCAGGGCGTACAAACTCAATACATCAGGATCCTTCGTGAGCTCTATTGCGGATTCACTACCAAGATCTCACCATTCTACAAAGAAGTAATCATCCATATCAAGAGAGGGGTTCGGCAGGGTGATACCATTTCACCAAAACTCTTCAGTGCCACCCTCGAGAACATCATGCGACGACTAGAATGGGAAAACATGGGAGTGAAGATAGATGGTCGGCAACTACACCACCTCCGCTTTGCTGATGACATCGTTCTAATAACACCAAACATCAGCCAAGCGGCACAAATGCTTGCGGACTTTGACCGTGAGTGTGGAAAGGTCGGACTACAGCTGAATCTTAAGAAGACAATGTTTATGAGAAACAGCCTTGTTCCTGACGCTCCATTCGCTCTCAACGGAACCACCATCTCCGAATGCAACAGTTATATATACTTAGGTGGAGAAATCAACATGATGAATGACCTGGCACCTGAGTTACGCAGGAGGAAGAGAGCGGCTTGGAATGCCTTCAAGAGCATTGAAGAAATAACTAAAAGGACAAAGAACCTCCAGCTACGAGCACATCTCTTTGATTCCACTATTCTTCCCGCATTAACATATGCCTCAGAGACCTGGACCCTACGAAAACAGGATGAGAACACCATTTGGGTCTCTCAAAGAGGAATCGAAAGAACTATGCTTGGAATATCACGATTCACTCAAATGAGAGATAGAATCCGGAGTTCTGATCTTCGTCAACGCTCAAGAATCAGGGACGCTGTCTCATTTGCCAAGACATCAAAAATCAGATGGGCTGGACATGTAATGAGGTTTACAGACAACCGCTGGACTAGAGCCATTACTGATTGGATTCCACGAGACATCAAAAGATCACGTGGACGCCCACCTATAAGATGGCCAGACTTCTTCGTCAAGACCCTAAATGATCGGTTTGAGGCTCTACATGTTCCTAAAACGAACAGATACCATTGGGCTACGCTAGCACGCAACCGGGATGAATGGAGACATTACTGGCACCCGCTCGAATAAATCGATGAATAACGGGGATTAAGTGATTAAGTGATTAAGCATGCCAAATTCTCAGTGAACATCTGATACCATTTCATATGAAAACCAGACTATGAGTTAATTGAGCAGTCTGTTTTCTCTCTAGAGGCATATATACGTGTGTGTGTGTGTGTGTGTGTGTGTGTATAATTTTTTTTAATCAAGTCACTTAGATGCAGTTACAAAGCTGTTCATTTTGAAATACTGACTTGGAATGATTAAAACAATTGAATTTTGTTTTCTGAGTTATTTGTGGGAACTTTTGTCTTTCATGTAGTAAAATCATTTTGTCATTTTATGATAAACTTTATTATTTTATTATTATGATATACGACTTATAATAACATTTTTACTTCAAAAATTCAGCATATTTAGTGTTGAACTCTCTTATGGCTAAAATATACTTTAGTGTTTTCATGGCATTTTGATATTCTTTAAGCTAAAAGTAATTTGTCACTAAATTTCTAAAATTACATTTTAGCTGAATGCAATGGCCAACAGAGCTGCTGGTAAAGGCTATGAAAATGAAGATAACTATTCCAATATTAGATTTCAGTTTGTTGGAATTGAAAATATTCATGTCATGAGGTCCAGCCTTCAGAAATTGTTGGAAGGTATGATTATTGCTTAGTCTAGTAGACATCTTTGCCCACTAGAAATATAATGCTAAATATAAAATTTTAAATTACAACTAAGATTTTGTTTATTGGCACTGAAAATGTCAATTTTCTTTCTTTCTTTTTTTTTTTTTTTGGTGTTAAGGTGGTTATTTAGGGTTCATTCAACAGTGCTCAGAGCTGTTGGTGGCTCAGTACTTGGGGGCTGATTGAATGAGGTCTTCAGCATGAAGTGCATGTGCTCCAAGCCATTGGTCATCTCTCTAGCCCTGAACGACCATTTTGAACTAAACACTTGCACTGAAGATTTTCCTTAAAAATATTTGTGCTGCATTTGGGGGCGGGGTGTGGGGAAAATGGGGTCACACCCAGCAGGATTTGAAGGCTACACTTGGCTTAATGGCTTAGTGGTTGGAGTTTGGGTTGCTCTGAAGGTGCTGGGACAGGGATGTAGGGGTGGACTGTGTAGCTCCCAGCATCAGACCCAAATCTTCTGCATGCAAAATATGTACATTCTGAGTCCTAGAGTCCTCTCAGCCCTTCGGGCATTTTTTAATAGAAACAAAGGAAAAAATGTATCCAAATGTGATGGAAAATGTATCCAAATATCTCTTACTGAATTTTTAACAGCATATTCTTATGTATAAGAAATCTTGCCTGTTGTCCTTTTCTCTCCCCAGTTCATTTGCCCTTGTACAAAAGTGAAACTAGCCCCATTCTAACTAAACGATTTCTCTCCCCCTTCATTTTCTAGTCAATGGTACCAAGGGACTTTCTGTCAATGATTTCTACTCTGGTTTGGAGAACTCAGGATGGCTTCGTCATATCAAAGCTGTTATGGATGCTGCAATCTTCTTAGCCAAAGTAATTCTTGCTGGAGTTGGTTTAGGGCTTATAATGGGTGGGAAGGAAGAGACTTAGTTTAGGGATAGTAAAAGAAATTTTCAAATTTCAAATAAGCTTTCTTTCTCATTCTCTTAGTTTTATATTGGCGTGGTCTTTTTCCTTTTTCTTTTTTGAAAATGCCTTCTGACACATTGCCATTGCACTCATTCCTCTTTGTTATGTAATATCCTTAGTAGGATGATGGTTTTTGAGTAAGTAGAACTTTATTTTTATTTGTACAGGGCCTGTGCAATGCTGGGGATAGAAGTGGGGTCCCCTGCATGTAAAGCCTTATACTCAAACCATGGAGCTATCTTTCTGGCTCAAGTAGAAGTTAATTTGTTTTAATTTAAAAATTAATCTCCCCATGCCAGCCTCCCAGACCATGGGCCTGTCAGGACCACTTTGGTGTGTGCAGCAGCATAGGTGATTAAGCGGATAGCCTTAGAACCACCGCCTGGGTCTGAGGTCTTAGCTTTGTGCTTAAGCCGTTTTTTTGGACACCAGTAGAATTTTTTGATTGACTTAAAATGTATCCTATATTGTAAGTAATATGATCTTTCTTTTTAGGCAATAATGGTTGAAAATGCAAGCGTGTTGGTACATTGTTCTGATGGTTGGGATAGGACTTCCCAGGTTTGTTCCCTTGGGTCTCTCTTACTGGATTCCTACTACAGGACAATCAAAGGATTCATGGTAAGGATTTATTTGATGAGACAAATGGTTCCAAATAAGAGACATTATCATCTTCCAGGGCCCATTTGTTGATTTAAGAGATAATTTTGATCTTTTCAGCTATAGGAAGTTATAAAGCTGACATCTGAAAAATGTACACAGATTGGGTGTGGCGTAAAAGGAAGTTCTCCTCTAGTGTCCTGTCTGAGCATTCCAGGCTCCAGCCTGAGTCACTGGGATGGATGATACTTTTCTGCTTCTCACTGAGATGAGCACATGAATAAGTTTAATTATGTGAAAGATAAATTAAATTTTAGATCTGGGCATGCAAAGAGTGGCAGAGGACCCAAAATAAATTGGGAAGCTCCAGCCAGAAAATCACTTGTCCAGAAGTCATCTAGATGTGGAAGCCATGTGATTGATTCAGAAGCTGCATTCTTGGGCATCATATTGTATGTTCTGCTAGAGAATCATAGATATAATTTAGGACCAAGTCAGGTTTTTTTGGGTGGGGGAGGGAGGGTGGAACACGCTGAACACCCTGAGCAGTGCTCAAGGCTTACTCTTGGTTTTGAGCTCAGAGATCACTCAGTGGGAATCGGGATACCATATTGAGTGTTGGGGATTGAACCCCAGTTGGCTGTATACAAGGCAAGTGCCCTTCCCACTTCCCAAGTCAGAGAAAGAAAAGTAGTAATTTCGCTTTGAGAAGAATGTATTTGGTATTTGATGAAATTTATAAATATTAAAATATGTTTAGACAGTTTCTATAAGAAGTTAGTTATTAACATTTGAATATAAAGTTTGAATAGGTCCTTTTTAAATTATTTAATGTGTAGTAAATAAGCCAGAAGAAGGCCAGAATAATGATATAGTGGATAAGGTTGCCTTGCATGCAGCCAACCCGGGTTTGACCCTAGCACCACATATGGTCCCTCCAAGCCCTGCTAAGAGTGATCCTTGAACACCAAGCCAGAAGTAAGCCATGCTCTTTGCTGTGTGTGACAAAAACCCAAACAAAAACTCCAAATAACCCAAAAGATTGAAATAGCCATACTAGAGTTATCAGTTGGAAGCATTTTGTTTTTCATTTCTCTAGTCTGTTTCTTTCCCCTCCCTTCCCCTCCCCACTTTGTCCATAGCTTTGCCTGTCTGCCTGCCTGCCTGCCTGCCTGTCTGCCTCCCTCCCTCCTTCCCTCCCTCCCTCTCTCCTTTTCTCCCTTCCTTTCTTCCTTCCTGCCGCTTTCGGGCCAATACCCAGTGGTGCCCACAGCTTACTCTTGGCTCTGCAGTCAAGGATTACTCCTGGAAGGGCACCTGGGACTATATGGGGCTCCAGGGATTAAAACCCCAATCAATCACATGCAAGGCAAGTATCCTATCCACTGTATTGTCACCCTGGCCCCTGTCTAGCCCTTTTTATATATTTAGATTATCATTATACTTAAGAAATACAAATTAGTACTTTATAGCTTCTTTTTTTAAAAGTTAAATTGTAATAAATACAACCATTTGTCATAGCTGTAGTCCCTTAAGAAAAACTTAAAAACATTTTTGTCGAGCCCCACCTGGACTCTGCACCTTACTCATGGCTCATGGTTGTTCCAGGCAAGTTGCAGTGTCAGGGACCAAACCCAAGCCGCCCACTTGCAAAGCATGTGCTCTAGCCCTGTGAGCCATCTCCCTGGCCCTGTTATTTTCTTTTATGTATCACTTTCACGCTTTCCCTCTTTCTTCTATTGTTTTTTGGGGCTGCATCTGGGTCAGTTCTGGGCTTACTCCTGCCTCTGTGCTGAGGGATCATTCCTGGCAGTGCTCAGAGGACCATATGTGGTGTCGGGGATCGAACCCAGGTTACTGTGCCTGTTACACCATCTCTTGGGGTTTCCCACCCATTTTGTCCTTTGGTCCTATTTGGAGGCCTCCCAAATAGGACTCAGAAGTCCAGGGAGCTGCTTCCAATGGAATGGCCAGCCAGGCCTGGCATTCAGTTCTAGGTCAGCTATGCAGTGCTTCTTGGGAACTAGGGTGCCAGGCTCACCAGAGCCATCCTGGAGACATTTGGGGGTCTCCTGGACTCCTGTGACTATGCTCAGGGAGCATGTGGTGCCAGGGATAGACCTGTGAGTCCCCTGTCCCCATTTTCACTTCTTTAAACTCACCTCTAATCCAGGGTCTTGTCTTTGGGTTATAATTAAAAGAAATGTTTTGTTTAATCTGCAGCCTTAAATCTGAAGTATAAATATCATTTTTAAGATAATAGGATTTAATCCTTTATAAAAAGATTGTAAGTTGTATAATTATTTTATACTTTTTCTTTTTAAGGTTTTAATAGAAAAGGATTGGATCTCTTTTGGACACAAATTTTCAGAGAGGTGAGTAACAATATCTTCATATTTTTTATAAGGTTGGTAAAGTTCATTTTCTGATGGCTCATGAGAATGTTAACCATTTTTGTATGGTGACTGATGAAAACAGAAAAAAACAAAAAAATTTTTTTTCTTTCTGGGTCACACAGGAGTTACTCCTGGCTCATGCACTCAGAAATTACCCCTGGTGGTGCTCAGGGGACCATATGGGAGGATGGGTATCAAATCCAGGTCGGCCAATTTCAAGGGAAATGCCTTACCCTCTGTACTATCGCCCCAGCCCCCCCCAACCAAAATGTTTTGTAACTTCTTTCAGTTCTTAAACCTCTGTTAATTTCTCTGCTATTTGCCACCTTCATTTCTATCTGGATTTTGCTAATTATAAAGACCTTTCAAAATTTATACTTAGACCCTATAAAATTTATATAGACTCTGAAAAATTTATTTGTATAAATTGTTTAGTTTTTTTGGATAATTAGGTTTTATCTGAGGGGATGGGGAGAGATGGTATATGTGTTTAAATTTGTCAGTACCTGCACAATGAATTTCTTTCAGTGGCAGTTTTAAAAGCTTATATTTTCTGGGGGGTTAGGTGTGGCCAGTTGGATGGTGACCCAAAGGAAATCTCACCAGTGTTTACTCAGTTCTTGGAATGTGTGTGGCATTTGACTGAACAGTTTCCACAAGCCTTTGAATTCAACGAGGCATTTCTTCTTCAGATCCATGAACATATTCATTCTTGCCAATTTGGAAACTTTCTTGGAAATTGTCAGAAGGAAAGAGAAGAACTCAAGTAAGATGGTTTCATTAAAATGGGTTCTTTTTCTTTTTTTTTAGCTTTTGTTCAGCCATGGTCTAACAAAAATCAAGTTAGCTGAATAGAGCATCCTGATGATATGAAATAGAACTAAACTTTATATTAGTATTTCTGAAGCTAAATGCCCTCAGAAGATCCCTCTCATATTATGATTAATCATAACATTGCATTTAAAATTTTGAAATAGAGCATACCTACAGAAAAGTACATTTAAGTTGAAGCTCAATGAATCTTAAAGCTTAACCAAAACTTTGTAACCAGTCAGCAGAAAGAGAAACATTACCAGAAAGCTAGAAACCCCCTCTCCACCCCATGCCCTTCTGAACATATGTATTTAGAACAGAGCAGTTGTCTCTAGTTTTCTAGGAAATAGTGGTCATTAAGTTTGAGAGCATGGTAAAAGATACAGGATTGCAAACTTCAAAGTAAAATGCAGCCCCCCTCCCTCTCATGGTTCTGAACAGACAATTCTTTGGAGAGATGAAATCTTCCTGTGCCACTGCCATGTGTCTCCACCTCTGGGCACTGTAGAGTTGTTGTCTAACCAGACTTTAAAGCCTGGAATTGTTTTGTTTTGTTTTGTTTTTTTTTAATTTAATTTTGACATGTAGGAGATCTGGAATTCTTGTGTGTGTGTGTATAATTTTTTTTCCTCCTTTCCAGGTTGGACTTCTGAGTTCAGATTTTTTGTGGTAATCAATGAAGAAGAGTTGTAGATTCTTGACGATCCAGATTTACTTATTAAGAGCAGCTAAATCTGGTGTGATTTGAACAGCCACATGCTTGTATTTTTGGGACAAAACTGAAAGCATGTGAAAAATCGAAAGCTGTGTGAAGGGAATAACTAGCAAGTGAATAATATAATGGAACAGAGATGAACAAACCAAAAAAAAATTAGAATTCTAGTTCTGTGCTATAGTAATTTGTAGTTTGTCATATGATTTGGAGCTATTTTAGGAATAAATATTCTTCTCAGAGCTAAACATTCTTCTCAAGGCTAAACATTCTTAAAAATAGGAATGTGATAATAAAAACAGATAATTCCTATTTTTTTTTCTTCTAGGAACATACATATAAGCAATTTTGGGGGAATTTCCATGGGGATATGAACAAATTCTCCATCTTCCTCCTTATATAGCCTGTCCTTTTAATTTTATTTGTTAGATAAACTATCAAAAAAACCATTCTACCCTTTATTCTTAGAGTTGCAATGTAATGGACATTTTTCACTCTTGAATAATGTCCTGATTTTTGATAATTCTTTTTTTCACCATTAATACTTGAATTTGTTCATATATCTTATACCTACCACCATTGCTGGGGGTAGGGCCAACAGAATAAGAACTAACAGAGACACATTAGTAACTTATTCTATATACTTGTGTGTGGTTATGTCATGGAGACCAAATTTATGAAACTGTGTTAGGTAAAACAGTCATTTTGTGGGGACAGCGGAGTGCGGGCACTCCTGGAGTTGCTCAGGGCCAACTCCTGGCTCTGCACTCAGGAATCAACTCCTGGTCGGTTCCCGAGACCATTTGGGATGCCGGGGTTTGAACTTGCGTTGGCCACATGTGAGGCAAACATCCTGCTCACTGTACTCTCTCCCGGTCCCAAAAGTTACCTCTTAAATTGTATGATGATGAGAAAATTGTATGCCTGTGTTGTGTTCAAGAGACATGGTTTTTTTGGTTCCGTGATTATGAATGAGAAAAAGAAAATCTAATATAGTACATTGTCAGCAACAAGGTGAGGTTAGACTGAATAGAAGAAAAAAACTGAAATTTCAGTGTCCTTGTTAAACTTGTTATAGTAGAATGGTATTTAACACCAGAGAAAGAACTTTATGATTTTTCATTATGTTCAGGTTAAAGGAGAAGACTTATTCTTTGTGGCCATTTCTTTTGACTGACCAAAGGAAGTACATAAATCCCCTTTACAATTCTAAATCGCAGAAATTTGCAGTGTTGGAGCCAAATACAGTATCTTTCAACTTTAAGTAAGTTGGCATTGTTTAAAGAACTTGAATTATTATTATTATTATTATTATTATTATTATTGGCTTTTTGGGTCACACCCGGCATTGCACAGGGGTTAACTCCTGGCTCATGCACTCAGGAATTACTCCTGGTGTTACTCGGGGGACCGTATGGGATGCTGGGAATCGAACCTGGGTTGGCCGTGTGCAAGGCAAACACCCTGCTCGCTGTGCTATTGCTATAGCCCCGAAGAACTTGATTTATATTGTATTTTTTTAAACACAATTTATTGAAACTTGTTTTTGTCATAAAGGTTTTGGAGAAATATGTACCACCAATTTGATCGAACATTGCACCCTAGGCAGTCTGTATTTAATATCATTATGGACATGAATGAGCAAAATAAAGAGTTTGAGAAAGATATTGAAGACTTAGAAACTGTAAGTATTCTATAGTATCTAATGTAATATGTTTATAATATCAGGTCAGTTTATTTCCTTGTGTTGTCAGTGTAAATCAAATCTAGAGAAGTTTCATAGAAATCCTGAGCTCAGCTTAGGGCTTATTCCTGTCTCTGCACTCAAGGATCATTCCTGGCGGTTTTCAGGGGATCATATGGGATGCTGGGGATTGAACTCAGGTTGGCCACATGCAAAGCAAGCACTGTAACTGCTGTACTCCCTCTCTGGCCCTTCAGTTGCTGCTGAAAATTTGAATTTTCCAGTTTTGGATTTCCATCATAAAAATTGAAGTTACTTTTTACTGATCGTAAGTCACTGTCACGGTCCTCCCATTGTTCATCAGTTTGCTCGAGCGGGCCCAGTAACGTCTCCATTGTGAGACTTGTTGTTACTGTGTTTGGCATATCGAATATCTCATGGGTAGCTTGCCAGGCTTTGCCGTGCGGGCAAGATACTCTCGGTAGCTTGCCAGGCTCTCCGAGAGGGGTGGAGGAATTGAACTCGGGTCTGCCATGTTGGCCGCTTGCAAGGCAAATGCCCTTCCACTGTGCTATCGCTCCAGCCCAGTGTTCGTAAGTATTTTTGCCATTTAGTTTTGATTTTTCTGTGAATGATCTGGGTTTTTTGTTTTTTGATTTTTTGGTTTGGGGCCATACCAGTGGTGCACAGGAGTTATTCCTGGCTCCACACTTAGGAATCACTCTCAGTGTTGCTCGGGATCATATGGGATGCCAGAGATCAAATCTGGGTCAGCCGTGTGCAATCCAGTGCCTTACAGGCTGTACTATTGCTCTGGCCCTGACCTGTTTTTTGTTTTTCTGTTTTTAGTTTTTGTTTTTGTTTGGCTTTGAGACCACACACACTCATGCTTAGGATTTACTCCTGAGTTTATGCTCCTCGGTCACTCCTGGTGGAGCTCAGCACACCATAGATGGTGCTTGGGGTGAAACCGTGGTCAGCTCTGTGCAAGGAAAGTGCTTTAATTCCTGTACTATTCTCTGGCTTGTGAATAACTTGTTTAAACCTCTGCACATTTTCTGTTGCTGTATTTGCTTACTTCGTATCAATTTTTTTTTTAATTTATTTATTTATTTATTTTTTTACAGTTGTAGATTTACAATTTTTTGTGCTTGGGTTTCAATTAAACAATGATCAGATACCCATCCCTCCACCAGTGCCCGTTTTTCACCACCATGGATAATATCCCTCCCACCCCCATCCCCCCAACCCCCCTGCCTCTGTGGCAGGGCAATCCCCTGTGTTCTCTCTCTCCGTTTTGGTGTTGTGGTCTGCAAAAGAGGCATTGAGTGGCAAACATGTTCAGTCCATAGTCTACTTTCGACAAGCATCTCCCCTCCTGGGAGGATCCTCCAAACATCCTTTATTTGGTGCTCCCTTCTCTATCTGAGCTGCCCTTTCCTCTAGGATACCCGGCTGGCCTCTAAGTTATGGAGTAATCCTCCTGGTGCTGATCTCAGCTATTCTTGGGTATTAATCTCATACTTTGTTACTTTATATCCCCCAGATGAATGCAATCTTTCTATGTCTATCCCTCTCTTTCTGACTCATTTTGCTTAGCATGATACTTTCCATATTGTACCACTTGTATGTAAATTTCATGACTTCATCTTTTCTAAGAGCTACATAGTACTCCATTGTGTAGATGTACCAAAGTTTCTTTAACCAGTCATCTGTTCTTGGGCATTCAGGTTTCTTCCAGTTTCTGGCTATTGTAAAGAGTGCTGCAATGAACAAACAAGTGCAGATGTCACTTCGACTATACATTTTTGCCTCTCTGGGATATATTCCCAGGAGTGGTATTGCTGGGTCAAATGGGAGCTCAATTTCTAATTTTTTGAGAATCGTCCATACTGTTTTCCAGAAGGGCTGAACCAGTGGACATTCCCACCAACAGTGAAGGAGTGTCCCTTTCTCGCCACATCCACGCCAGCATCGGTTGCTTTTGTTCTTTTGAATGTGGGCCAGTCTCTGAGGTGTGAGATGGTATCTCATTGTGGTTTTGATCTGCATCTCCCTGATGATTAATGATGTAGAGCATTTTTTCATGTGCTTTTTTGCCATTCGGATTTCTTCTTTGAGAAAGTTTCTGTTCATTTCATTGCCCCATTTTTGGATGGGGTTGGATGTTTTCTTCTTGTGGAGTTTAACCAGTATTTTGTATATCCTGGATATCAACCCCTTGTCAGATGTGTATTCGGCGAATATCCTTTCCCATTCTGTAGACTGTCTCTGTATTTTGGTCACTGTTTCTTTGGAGGTGCAGAAGCTTCTTAGTTTAAGATAGTCCCATTTATCTATCTCTGTTTTCACTTGCTTGGCCAGTGGCGTGGCATCTTTGAAGATACCGTTAGCTTCAATATCATGGAGGGTTTTGCCAACTTTATCTTCAATGTACCTTATGGTTTCTGGTCTGACGTTGAGGTCTTTAATCCATTTTGATCTTACTTTTGTACATGGTGTTAGGCAGAGTTCTGAGCCTATTTTTTTGCATGTAGCCGTCCAATTATGCCAACACAATTTATTAAAGAGGCTTTCCTTACTCCACTTCACATTACTTGCACCTTTATCAAAGATTAGATGATCATATGATTGAGGGGAGATGTCAGTGTATTCAACCCTGTTCCATTGGTCTGCAGTTCTGCCTTTGTTCCAGTACCATGCTATTTTAATTATTACTGCTTTGTAGTACAGTTTGAAGTTAGGGAGGTTGATTCCTCCCATTTTCTTTTTCCCAAGAATTGCTTTAGCTATTCGTGGGGGCTTATTGTTCCATATAAATTTCAGGAGTGTTTGCTCCATTTCTTTGAAGAATGTCATGGGTATCCTTATAGGGATTGCATTGAATTTGTACAGTGCTTTTGGTAGTATTGCCATTTTGACAATGTTAAGTCTCCCGACCCATGAGCAGGGGATATCTTTCCATTTCCTCATGTCCTCTTTTATTTCCTGAAGTAGCGTTTTGTAGTTTTCTTTGTACAGGTCCTTTACTTCCTTAGTTAAGCTGATTCCTAGGTACTTGATTTTCTGGGGCACAATTGTGAACGGGATTGTTTTTTTCATGTTGCTTTCTTCTCTCTCACTGTTTGCGTATAGGAAAGCCATGGACTTTTGGGTATTGATTTTATAACCTGCAACTTTACTATACGAGTCTATTGTTTCTAAGAGTTTTTTGGTGGAGGTTATTGGGTTCTCTAAGTAGAGTATCATATCATCTGCGAATAGTGAGAGCTTGATTTCTTCCTTTCCTACCTGAATGCCCTTAATATCTTTTTCTTGCCTAATCGCTATTGCAAGTACTTCCAGTACTATATTGAACAGAAGTGGAGAGGGTGGGCATCCCTGTCTCGTCCCTGATCTTAGAGGGAAGGCTCTCAGTTTTTCCCCATTGAGGATGTTGCTTGCTGTAGGCTTGTGGTAGATGGCTTTAATTATGTTGAGTAAGGTCCCCTCTATACCCATTTTGGCTAGGGTTTTCATCATAAAGGGGTGCTGGATCTTGTCAAATGCTTTCTCTGCATCTATTGATATAATCATATGCTTTTTATCTTTTCTTTTGTTGATATGATGGATTATGTTGATTGATTTTCGAATGTTAAACCATCCTTGCATCCCTGGGATGAATCCTACTTGGTCATGGTGTCTGATCTTTTTGATGAGTAGTTGGATTCTATTTGCTAGTAGTTTGTTGAGAATCTTTGCATCTGTGTTCATTAGGGATATCGGCCTGTAATTCTCTTTCTTTGTGGTATCTCTGTCTGCTTTTGGTATCAGTGTGATATTTGCTTCGTAGAAACTGTTTGGAAGTGTTTTTGATATTTCAATTTCGTGGAAAAGCTTAAAGAGCATTGGGAGTAAGTCCTCTTTAAAGATTTGGAAGAATTCACTAGTGAATCCATCCGGGCCAGGACTTTTGTGCTTGGGGAGACTTTTTATTACCATTTCAATTTCCTTGATGGTGATAGGTCTGTTCAGGTATTCCAGGTCTTCTTGGTTCAGCCTTGGGAGTCTGTAGGAGTCTAGGAATTTATCCATTTCCCCGAGGTTTTGATGTTCCGTGGCATAAAGCTTCTCAAAGTACTCCCTGAGGATCCTCTGAATTTCTGTGGTTTCTGTTGTAATGACCCCCTTTTCATTTCTGATTCGGTTTATTAGGGTTTTCTCTCTCCCTTTCTTTGTGAGTTTTGCTAGAGGCTTATCGATCTTGTTAATTTTCTCAAAGAACCAGCTTTTGGTTTCATTGATCTTTCGGATTGTTTTTTGGGTTTCCATCTCGTTAATCTCTGCTCTGAGTTTTATTATTTCCTTTCTCCTGTTCGGGTTGTGCTCCTTTTTTTGGTCCTTCTCCAAGCTCTTAAGCTGTGAGGTTAGGTTACTTATGTGTGCTCGCTCCTCCTTCCTGAGGAATGCTTGTAGAGCTATAAACTTTTCTCTTAACACAGCCTTTGCTGTGTCCCATAAGTTTTGGTAACTCGTGTTCTCATTTTCATTCGTTTCTAGGAATCTTTTGATTTCCTCTTTGATTTCCTGTCTAATCCACTCGTTGTTCAATAGTGCACTGTTTAATTTCCAGGTGTTTGATTTAGTTTTCTGTTTTTGTGTGTGATTTACTTCTAATTTCAGCGCATCATGGTCTGAGAAGATTGTTGATACAATCTCTATCTTCTTAATTTTATGGAGGCATGTTTTGTGGCTCAGCATGTGGTCTATCTTGGAGAATGTTCCATGTACGCTTGAGAAGAATGTGTATTCAGCTTTTTGTGGATGAAGTGTCCTATATATATCTACTAAGTCCCTTTCTTCCATTGTTTCCCTCAAATGAAGTATGTCCTTGCTAAGCTTGAGTCTGGTTGATCTATCAAGAGGTGACAAAGCAGTGTTGAAGTCTCCCACTAGTATTGTGTTGCTATTGATGTCTTTTTCCAAATCTATGAGTAGTTGTTTTAAGTACTTTGCTGGTCTCTCATTAGGTGCATATACATTTATTATTGTAAGTTCTTCCTGTTGTACAGATCCTTTGATCAATAAGAAATGGCCTTCACTGTCTCTTATGACCTTCCTCACTCTGAAATCGATGTGGTCTGATATAAGGATGGCTACCCCAGCTTTTTTATGGGAGCTGTTTGCCTGTAGGATTGTTTTCCAGCCTTTGACTCTGAGTCTGTGTTTGCTTTGACTATTGAGATGCGTTTCTTGCAGGCAGCAGAATGTTGGGTTCAATTTTCTAATCCATCCTGCCACTCTATGTCTTTTAATTGGTGCGTTTAGCCCATTGACATTGAGAGAGATTATTGTTATGGGATTTTGTCCCATTGTTCTGTTAAAATTTGGTGTATTTGAGGGGCCTTTCTTGCCTTAAAGTAGCCATTTAGTTGTTCTTGTAACCATGGTTTTGAGTCTATGAAGTTCCTGAGCTGTTGTTTGTCTGTGAAACTGTGTGTTGTTCCTTCTATTATGAATGAGAGTCTCGCTGGGTAAAGTATTTTTGGAGAGGCATTTATTTCATTGAGTTTTTTCACTATGTCCCACCACTGTTTTCGGGCCATGAGGGTTTCATCAGAAAAATCAGCTGTGAATTTTAAGGATGCTCCTTTGTAAGAGATTTCTTTCTTCGATCTTGCTGCTTTCAGAATTTTGTCTCTGTCTAAGGTTTTGGTCATTTTGATCAGAATGTGTCTTGGGATATTTTTATTCGGATTTCTTCTAGCTGGTACCCTTTGGGCCTCCTGAATGTGGTCACAAGTTTTCTTCAGCTCTGGAAACGTTGTAGCAATGATGTCTTTGACAGTTTCTTCTTCATCAAGGTTTTCATCCTGTACCTCTGGGACTCCAATAATTCTTATGTTACCCCTCTTGGCTTCATCACGATCTTCTAAAAATATGGAACGCTTCACGAATTTGCGTGTCATCCTTGCGCAGGGGCCATGCTAATCTTCTCTGTATCGTTCCAATTTTAGTATATGTGCTGCCGAAGCGAGCACACTTCATATCAATTTTTAAGAGTTCTTTATATACCAGACACTAGTTCTTTGTTAATTATATCTGTATCACAAGTGGCCATTGTAGACTATTCTTGATGTATCCACTTTATGATAGTTATTTCTATATGACTGAATGTCAGTATAGCCAAACTGATCAACCTTTGTGGTTTTTTCAAGGCAAATGTCCTACCCGCTATACTAGACCCCCTTTGTGGTTTTTGCCTTTTTGGCTGTCTTGTTTAAGAAATTTCTCTCCACCAAAAGACCATCCTATAATTTTTCTTTGCCTTCATATATAAGCAAGACAGATAATTAAGTACTATATTTTAAAACTCCTCTACAAATGTTACAGAGTAAGGCTACTTAGTCAGTCTCTTAGGCAAGTGTGCTTCTTTGTCATCTCTCAAGGAAGCCGTGATGACTGGAGTGTAGGGCAGGGGATCTGTCTGAAGAGAGGCGAACTCAGGATGTAGGTGGTAGAAGAAGGGGCATCTGTGCAAGGCTTTGGAGAACACTGATAATTTGCCACAGAACACTTGAAAATCATCTTTATAGAACAAAAAAACTTATCTGATGTTTACGTAATGAACCTTTGTAGGGAAATCCTGTAAGAAAGTGTCTTACGGATTAAAACCTTTAGTGAAGTGTGTATTTGTTACGTTCAAAAGTTATTTCAGGAAGCAGACTATAGACTGATCATGATGGCCACTTAATACCTTTATTGCAAACCACAACACCCAAAAGGAGAGAGAGAGCAAAAGGGAATGCCCTGCCACAGAGGCAGGGTGGGGTGGAGGGGACGGGGTGGGGGTGGTGGGAGGGATGCTGGGACCATTGGTGGTGGAAAATTGGCACTGGTGGAGGGATGGTACTTGATCATTGTATGACTGATACACAAGCACAAAAGTTTCTAAGTCTGTAACTGTACCTCACGGTGATTCAGTAATAAAACATTTTTTAAAAAATGTTATTTCAGGGCTAATGGCTCATAGCATTTCTTTCATTCTAAGATTTATCTTTTCCAGGTAGTCTTTACTGATAGGCTGTACTTAAGTATAAAAACATAACCAGTTTTCCTTGCAAAGTTGTAAACAATTAAGATTCTTGAACACATTCAGTTTGTGCTAGGAGTTTGTTGGTTTTTTTTTAAGATTAAATTTCCATTGTTCATAAAGAGAACATCACCAAAGCATATTATTATTTTTTTTATCTAATATACTTGAACTTACCTAGTATGTGCGATTAGTAATTTTTCTCAAATTTTGATTTGTCCTAGAAAATCAAACAACATAAAAATAAGCGAACAGATGAAGTTCTTACCAAGGAATTGTTGAGTTCAGTTCGTCCTGAATCACCTACCCTCAAAACATCCCTGTGTTTTAAGGAGCAAACCCTGCTGCCTGTGAGTGATGCTCTCCGAACTATAGAGGGCAGCAGTCCTGCAGATAACCGTTATAGCGAATATGCAGAAGAATTTTCCAAATCAGAACCTGCTGTGGTCAGCTTAGAGTATGGTGTGGCGAGAATGACTTGTTAGATTCGTATTTTCTGAACTGATTGTAATGCAATAAATGGATTATGAGGGTGATCTGATCTGTGTGCATGACCAAAAGGAATTCATCTAACAGTGACCTTAGAGTTACAGTAGGTTAGATAATTGAAGAACAGATAACACCTGTACTTGTGAAAGAAATAAGTCAAAAAATGACTTCCAGTTCTATAAGAAGTAAGTGATGTTGGTGAGTGTACCCATAACAGATTTCACTGTACATAGTGAATTGAAGTTGGTCTGATTTATATGTTTATTACAGCAAAACAGGAATTGCCTTTCTTAGGAGCAAAGTAATTTTCAGAAAACAAACTACACAAAGTTGTTCCTAAGAGACTGACATGGTATGTACTTTTGAGTTTGTAGCTATAACTACTTTACATATTTTACTTTTCAGTGAGTGATGTTTAATGTTCAAGTGCTATAAAATACATTTTTAAGAAAGCCTTAAAATCCCAGTTTCTTGTTTACTCTTAAGTTTTATAGCCTGGAGTACGAATTTTAAATGTTATTTTCTTTTGTTCAGCTTTGTTTGATTCATGAAGCATTCTCATTATATAGAAGTTGCATGCTTTAATATTCTTACATAACAGTCACAGAAGCATTCTTGTTAAGCTCTTATTCTGCCAATCCCAGTTTTTAAATTCAAAATTGTTGAAGTTTTATTCTGATTACCATTAGTGCTATATTTGGTTATTATTTACTTACATGGTTGCTTTCTTGAATATGTGTAAGCACAGTTGAGTTTTTTATGTATGGATTACTGCATTCCATTGATTCTTTGTGGTTCACTTTCTTTGGTAACTGGTAAATTTAAAGAGTTAATACTGAATCTGGTGTCGGAAACAATGAACAGTATGTACATAGGTATTTTTAAAACTGCTTTGTCTCTCAGTGAGTTGCTATTCCTAGAATATCTTTGTTTACCCAACATTTTTGGGGTTGAAAGAAGGGGGAAGTACAGATTGTTTAGATTTCACTTGGTTGCATGAATTTTAAAGCAGTCATTTCTATATGGTAAATTTCTTCTTTGTTAATACAGGAACAACAAAAAAGGAAAATTATGAATATTGTAATTTCAAAGTTATTGTTTAGTGAAAGCAATTTAAATGCTGGAAAGAGTTTCATTTTTACCACATTACTGAAACTTTTTATTCTTTGTACCAGTTCATATCTTTAAATTACAAACAAACCAAAAAAAAGCAAGAGACAGAGGTAACAGTGTCACTTTTAAAACAGAAAACTTCAGTTACATAGGTCGCCTGAGTTACAACTCAAGAATATTAAGGAATCTATAATAGGTTCCCTTCTTGCTTCTCTTTATTTAACCTACATCTGTTGTATTAGTTTTGAAGATAAATATCTTTCAAATGGAGAAAAACTATTGTATGAGAGCCTGTATAATCCTTTTCATTTTTCCCATGTTTTTCACTAATACATAATATAATAAGAAAATTACTCCTTTACAGACAGTACCAGAAATGCAATATAAAATATAGTTTGTAATTTAACCAAGTCTTTTCCCATATTTAGGAACTGGGACAGGAAGCAGTCTTTGTGATCACAAGGAAAACTTTTGTGCCTTGTTACTTGATGCAGATACTGATTGTGGTTTCATAATCTCCAATGGCAGATGACTTAAATTCCACCATTCGCTTTATTACTCTTCCATCTGCAGCATATATTTGCGCATCAATTTGTATGCTTGGATGCACCCACTTGGACTGAGAATAGTTAACATACTAAGTGACCTACAGGGTGTATGTTGGCAGAAAACAAAACAAAAAAAACCATTGTGTATATGTCTTGTAAAATTGGATTTACATTTGGTGTGTTTGGGAATGTATAGCATGTAAATTATTTCATATATCACTTAAAGTAATTAAATGTTCATGTTCTATGTTGAATCTTTTTTTAAAAAAAAACTATAAAGTTGTGAGTTTTTTTCCCCTTACCGAGGCAAATAGTACTGCACAATACTCCTTATAATATAAGGTATACTATGCAATGCAACGTCCAAAAGATGGAGTTGATAACTGATAGACAAAAACTGTTTCCAAAATTATAGAATAGGCCTAGAGAGTTTCTAGTTTTAGCAGATAGAGTTGATAATGTTAAACTTTCCTCTCATTCGTGTCACTGTGTTTATGATAATTATTTTATTCTTCCTCACCAACTTGTTGATGGAAGGCAGGGTCTCATGAGTATCTGGATTTAAGGGAAAATGTGTTTCCAAAGACATTTTGGATATAAATATGGATATAAATATGAGGAGGAAAATCATTGGCAGTAAAGAGTATAATTTTTCTCTTTGGGAGATTTCTGAACAGATTGGTTAGTTTAGAGGTAGATCAGAGGATGGTAGGAAGACTGTGTTGTAAATTCTTGGGGCCCAAAGAGTTATAATGCATTGTTTGTGTTCTGTAGGCCCCAATCTTTGATACTGCATTATTCCCTGAGCACTCTTGGAGCAACCCCAGAGCATAGTATAGTGTAGCCTCTGAGCACCACCAGGTGTGGCCCTCAAATCAAGACAAACCAGAGAGCATAAATTCTTTTTATTTGATAGGGAAACAGGGTAGGGTGGGCATTGCCAGAGTAACTTCTTTCAAAAGGACTTTTAGAAGAGTAGTTTTAGGTTCACCGTAAAATTAAGAAGAAGTTCTGGAATTTCCCCCCCTTATCCCCCATTCCCCATTATCAACATACTCTACTAGAGTGATACATTTGTTGCATTCGATGAACTTGTATTGACTGTGTATGTGTGTGTGTGTGTGTGTGTGTGTGTGTGATGCAAGATAGTCATTTTGTTTTATTTTGGTTTTGGGGCCACACCCAGCAGTGTGCAGGGGTTCCTCCTGGCTCTGCTGTTAGGAGTTACTCCTGGTGGTGCTCAGGGGACCCTATGGGATGTGGGGATCAAAGCTGGGAAAGCTGTGTGCAAACAAATGCCCTACCTGCTGTTCTGTCACTCCAGTTCCAAAATTTACTTAGAAAGATGGCCCAGGGGAGGAGGGGAAGGACAGTCACAAGAAGAAGGGAGGTGGGTGTGGAGGGGGGTCTAGTGGGAGAAAAGGAACCTGGGTTCTAGAGAACAGGAACGTGAAAGAGAAAGCAAGCGAAGAGACATAGAGACAAACAAGTGAGATTTGTACTTAAGGGACAACACAGGCTTGAAGAGCAAACCTGTACTGACACATTATATTCACTAGAGTACATTGTTGGTCTTAGGGTGGACCATTGGTGGTTTGCATATTTAGTGGTGTGGACATATGACTTTTCTTTAGTATAGAGTGTTTTCATGCTTTTTTTTTTTATTGTTCCCTTCTCTTCCTATTTATACCTTCCACTTCCTCCTTTTCCCCACCCCCTGTCAACCACTGGTCGTTGTGCTCTCTGTGCAGTTGGCCATCTCCAGAATGTCATACGATCACGATCACGATCACGACCACCCTGTTGTTCGTCGATTGCCTCGAGCAGGTGCCAGTAATGTCTTCTTCGTCCTAGCCCTGAGATTTTTTTTTTTAAAGTGCCATATTCAAGGCTTTTTCAGGGTTAGGAGAATGAGACCCATCATTGTTACTGGTATTTGGCATATTGGGTATACCACGGGGAGTTTGCCAGACTCTGCCGTGTGGGCATGTTACATTTGGTAGCCTGCCAGTTTGACCGAATTAGGAATGAGATGATAAGATATCGCGAGGCCGCGAATGCGGCCGCGCGCTTCCGGGAGCTGAGTGTGATAATCTCTGGATCCTGGCCGTTGTTGGAGTTACACGGCAGTTGGTGGGTGTAACTGTCTAGTTACTGGCAGGTCCAGTCCCAAACTGTACAGGCTTGGAGATCTCAGCCCCGGTCCCACACACCTGGGTTCCTCTGTCAGTTCTTTTATGCGTGAGGCTCATCCAAGTGTGTGGAGAGTGCTCCCAGCATGGCCTTGGCTGGGCCTCGGTGGTCTTCAGCTGTTGGGCCCTGGTGGAGACAGTCAGGCATAGGGTAGGAGACTCTGTCTTGTTCTCTCCCAGGAGCTGAGTGTGATGATCTCTGGATCATCTGAATGTCATACAGTTGGTGTTAAATACAGCATAAAGTTTTTCAGTTGACTTCTTTCACTTAGAAATATGCATTTAAGGTTCTTCTATGTTCTTTTCCATAGAAGGACAGCTCATTCTCACCCCACCCTCCAACTTTGGTGGTCTGGGTATTGGACTCTCTGGGCTACAGCTGCAGTGCTCTAGGTCTGTGCTTCTGATTCTGTGCTCAGATGATGCTTGGGGTGCCGTGTGCAGTGCTGGGATTGAACCAGGGTTCATGGTTGTGTTTCAGGCAATGTTCTAGCGCTAATCTGTTCACTAGTGTTTATGTCCCTCCACCAATGTCCTCAGTTCCCCTCACACCCCACAGCCTGCCTCTGTAACAGGCACATATTTTAGAAACTGTGGCTTGTAGTACTGTTACTGAAAGGGGTTGGTGCTTAACACATCAGTTTTCAGGACTTCCCTGCTCCTGTGATCACTTCCCTCCACCATTGTCGCGGCATTCTTTGCCCTATCCTATCCCCTCCCTAACTCCACAAGTGCCAAGCTCCTTACTGAAGACGGCTTCTCGTGTACTTCATTTTTGTTGCCTTTGGACATTTTGTTATCTTTCATTTCATTTTAGTAGTGAATGATGTTCTGTTCTCTAGGTGGACCACAGTTTGTCCTTTGTTGGCGGGCAGTGTCTCTAACAAAACAGTGCTTAGATGGTCCTGGGGCCGCTTCCTGAGATACTTGCGAACTTAGTCTACTTGGCGAACTGGGCCAAGACAATTCAGTTCTAGGATTTAGGGATGCGGTGCTGCTTAGCTAAGGCTTGGCAGTTTGGGGACTACCAAGGCCTCATCTGGAGGTCCTAGAGGGGGTCATCAGGACTACATCTGGTGGTGCTCAAGAAGCTATACTTTGCCAGGGATCTAACTGGGGTCTTGCATGTACAAAGTATGTGCTTATGTGCTTCTGATTCCTGTGCTGTCGCTTGGCCCACCCTCCATCTTATAAAGTATATCTAGGTGGCATGCAAGTAATGACCGTCACAAACATTCATGCCCAGGTTTCTGGGTAAATCAGTTGTTAGCTCCCTTAAGTAAATAACAGGAAGCATGAAGATTGCTGGGTTGTAGGGTGGGAATATCCTAAATTTTCTGAGAAACTGCCAGACTGTCTTAGAAGCAGTGGTGAGAGAGGGTTCCTGCTGCTTCACATCCTTACTAGGGTTTGGATTTTGAAAGCTATTATAGGTGTGCAACTAATTTTCTTTCTTTCTTTCTTTTTTCTTTTTGGTGGTGGACGGCAGAGGGTCAAGATAGAATACTGAAAAATTTCTAGTTGGCATTCTCAGGTTGCTGAAAGGTCAGCCATTTGCAAAGCCTTTAAAGCTTTGTGTTCTTTATCTGTGACTTCCACTATTACCAGCCAAGTTTAGCTCTTTTGTTGTCTCCGTTTAAGTTCGGTAGGCATTAATTTCTTGATTAATAAAATGTAGGACCTGTTTTCATATCTTTTACCACATCATTGCTCTTGAGATCTCACACACTGGTGCCCACATTCTCAGTGGTGATGTTTGTTGGACACAGCATGCTGATGGTTTTGTCTTTTTTAGCTAGTGTATTATTGACCTGTGTTAACCAGCCTTGTGTGTCCAGGAGAATCCCCTCATGGTGGTTATTATGCACAGTCCTTTTGTTGCATTGTTGAATTTGCCTTGATAGTTTCTTACTGAGAATTTTGTGTCTATGTTTAGCAGAGATAATGGTCCATAGTTTTCTTTTTTTAAATGATGACTTTGCCTGAATTTAGTATCAGAAAAATATTGGCTTCATAAAATGTATTTGGAAGTGTTCCTTTTTTGATTTTTAGAAGTTTATGAGGGAAATGGGCTTAAAAGGTCTTCAAAAGTTTGGTAAAATTTGGTGAAAAGCTGGTAGAGCCATCTGGTCTAAGACTTGTTTGGGGAAAAGGTTTTCATTAATATTTCAATTTCTGTACTTGAGATTGGTTGATTTAGGTTTTCTATTCTTGTTTCACTCTTTGTATGTTGTCTTTAAAATTGTAATTTTTTCTGGGTTATTGAATTTGTTATATAATAGTTGTTTATGGTAGCCTCTTATTTGTTAATATAAAATAGTCTCTTATTTGTATTTCTGTAATATCTTACAGTTTTTCCTTTTTCATTTCTGATTCTTTTACGGTTTTAATTTTTTTCTTTAAAAACCTAGATATACAGTTTTAGGTTTTATTCATATTTTTCAGTTTCTGTATGTTTGTGTTTTTTTTTAAATTTCCTTTTTGTAGTTCTAATTATATCACATTCTGATTAGAAAAATATTAAGTATGATTTCAGTCTTCATAAGTTCATTGACACTTTCTTTGTGTCCCAGCATTTGCTCTGTCTTAAGTTCCATGTGGGCCAGAGCAATAGGTGGGTGTTTGCCTTGCATGTAGCTGACCCAGGTTTAATCCCCAGCATTCCATATGGTACCCCCAGCACTGCCAAGAGTAATTCCTGAGTGCAGAGCCAGGAGTAATCCCTGAGCATTTCTGGGTGTGACCCAAAAAGAAAAGAAAAGAAAAAAAAGAAAGTTCCATGTGTACCTGAAGAAGTCAGTTTAGCTATTTTGGGATTAAATATTTTGTCAATTAAGCCTTTTGTTCTAGTTGATTATTTTAGGTGGTTCTTTTCTTATACTATGTTTACATGACCTATATGTTGTTTAAGTGGGTGTTAAACACCCCTCCCATTTCTACATTATAGT